AAAAAATACTGAAATATTAAAAACTCCCTCATATGCTAATACTATGAGTAATTTTTGCCGAAATTAATGTAAGTTTGGGAAAATTAAGTACATGTTGCAAAGCACACAAACTACTTGAAATTTAATTGGTGGCATGTACAACATTAAAGTGTTACTAAAACCACTCAAGCTACAAACTTGCCATAAACATGTAAACTTTTTACACTTAAAATATTAGACATTAAATTGATACTTTTTACATCAGATTGCAATACAAAATTCAAATCATACCAACATTTTGTTGAAGTTAAATAGTACATTAGCCTTCAGAAATCTGAGTTCTCTTCTCAAACAAAACTATCAGAGTATCAGAATATTCTCCTTACTCTCTACATAATTTAGTCAAACACAGAATTCATGCTATTAATATAGTTAACAGTTTAGCTTCAAAAATAATCTCAATTCTGCTGTCTACACTTAGAAAAAATGAGCTGTACTAAAAAAAGTGATGATCTACATTGGATAGATTTTTTTTTAGAAATTAGCCATTTTTTGTCTAGCACATCTTATTATAGCACCATTACTTCAAAAACAGCCACTAAAATTTTCTTAAAATTCAGAGCTTCTTAATTCAAAATTCTTAAAATTCAAAACTAGTTTCACTACTAAATACATTTCCATAAATCTAGTTTGCAGAAAACCAATATACTTAAAAAGTTCATTTCAAGTGATGTAACAAAATGACCTTCTATTCAGTCCATCAGGAGAAAACAACAAAATACATCAGAACAACTGTATCACCAAAATCTTCTTTTGGAAGCCCATAACTGAAAATAACTACCAATGTCAAAAAGTCCATTTAAGTAGCTGCCCTCAAGAGCAAGTTACATACCAATTTGCAAAGAATGTGACAGAGGTAAAAGCGTACAAACATCAGCAGCTTATACATTATGCTATGTAACTAATGTTTATTACATTTATATAGTCTGGAAAAGGTTACAGATAAGATCATAGTACCTTTACCAGAAAATAAGTTTTCCTGAAAACATTATAAACCAAGAAATTTGGGGGAAAACTTGGTAGTTCACCACTACCAAGTTACTTATGTAAAAGATAACAATTCTTTTGATCTTGTTCAATGAACCAACAAGTAAGAGCTACACCAACCAATCAAAAGACTACCCATCCTGCTATAATTACAATGTATTAAAAAATGAAAGGCTAGGATAGAGAAAAGGTTTACCATGATCATAGACAAGGTGTGATCACACAAGGAAAGTTTGTTTACAATACTTAGCCAAGCTTCTCTCATTCCTTATCCAGAACTGACAATGTTAATCTTACACAGTATTGTACAAATTTCTTTTTAATCAATAGGTTCCAACAAGACAAAATGTTATGTGCTAGTACTGCTTTGTACTATTAATAATCAGCAACAGTACACACCACTGCTGAAATGGAGGTTCTGATACATACTTACTGCTTATTAGCTTTAGATCTGTTCCAGTATTAACCACTTCGCTCCCTCGGTGTCTACTTCCAATACTATTAAAAAGATTCCAAATGGATTCAAGGCCTAGATTATCATTCAAAACCAGAAATGAGTTGACTCCATAAACCTAAACTAGTTCAGAAGAAAACGTCTTGTTGGAAAGTATCAAACTGAACAGGAACGCACAGAAAATACCGACACCTGTAGGCCCTGACTTATGATCCCTTATATCTACCAGATCTCCTTTTACTCTGACAGGTTGCATATGGCTCCTTCAAAAGAAAAATCTGTGGATTTACAAAAGGCTAGAACTTTTCAGCTCCTGGGTTTACTTTAGTTTCTCGAAGTTGTCCCTCTTCTACTGAAGCACACTTTCTATTTTTGGTAAGGATATTACAGAACACTATGGTTAAACAAAAATCCAATGGTATTTTCTGCATGTGCTCAATTCTTAAAAGTTGATGGTGGAGCAAGAATCTTCAAAAATACTTTCTGATATTATCTCCGCATCTAATCATCTGAAACAAAGCAAAGAAAACTCTTTTTCACACTGCATACTTTCTAGCCTCAGTCACAATTTAGATGAGTGGGTACAAAGCATTGTCTCATACAGTTTCATGAGGCAGAGATAGGGAACATTAAAAATTAAGATTGGCCTTTCAATTTGAGATTAATCTCAATATCTTCATAAAACCCCTGCAATTCAGCCACAATGCAAATTATATGTGGTAATACAAAGGGAAGGAGTTGAACTCCATGAAAGTACCTTCAAAGGAGAAGCTGAAAAAGTATATCCTCTGTAAGAGAAATATACTGATTAGCCTCATTCAAGAAGGATTAGAAAAGACTGCACTTCTTGATTAAAAAGACAATAAAATAAACACTGCTATTCAGTTCAGTTAGTACTGACAGTAGGCTGACTTGCTAAGACACAGCTGAAGTACTGGATGACTCCCCAAGGGTCAAGCAGCTGATAGAATAGCTTTACCAAATAGCAACAGCATCATTTTGGACTCCAGCCTGAAGACAACAGATCCTGACTTGCCTTCTGCAGACTGATTATCTCCAACACCTTATTTGTGGAATTTTCTCTTGGACGGTCGCAAAGTCAGTGAAGTGGGTTTATCTTATAAAGGATCTGAAGACAAGGAAAGTGAAAATCCTCCTCTCTCAAAGGCAGTAAATATGTTCTAATAGAACACGGCTTGAAACTCAAATACCTACAGAATATGAACCCAGTAAAAAAATAATACACACCAAAAATAAAACTTCAACAGCCAAGTACAGAAGTTGAAAAGAACAACCAAAGGTACTTTACAAAGAAGCCAGAGCAGGAGAAAGAAAATTGTGATACAGATCAAAAGTAGAGGTTTTGTTCTGTCTCTACTAAGTGCTTAACAGGAACAGCAGAACAACTACTGCCTTCAAAGCCACAAAGTGTGCAGATGGCACGTTTGTCCAGCTTACACATATGGCCAGAACTAAAATTCTCCAGCTTTTGGTAGCTGCACAGCAGCATCCCAGGATGAACTACCATATACTCCATCAGCTACAGGAAAAGCAGTACCTCCCTCTGGAGTCACCACTTTTGAGGAACCCGTGACATTTTGAACACAGCCTAACTAAACATCTTAATCTCCAAAGACAGGTCATTAGAGGAGAATAAAAGTGCTAAATCTTCTGGGTGCTTGTGTTATTTAGCAATTATAAGGAAAAAAGACAGCAAATCATGTTCCCACACTATTATTAGTTCTCTCACCCCACAAGTCGGTGAGAACCATTTGGGAGAAATAATAGACTTTCTTTCAAAAGTCTACCAAAGTCAAAAAATATCGGACCACATTACTTTCAAGCAAAGCAATTTTCTTTAGATCTGGATTTATAATTTTGTTGTTTGAAAGTATTCTTACAAAGGTAAACATGCTCAAATTTAAGATATTAATTCTAGATCCTACTACAAAAGTAATTCGATCTTCATTACTGGTGAATATCTATTTTATATGGCTATATATAGTAGCTGTACATAGCCATTTTTCAAAAACACAAATTCAGTGACTCATCCATACATTATATTGCTTTGTTTGGGGGATTTTTTTGCTACACACAAAAGCAAACACAAAATATATATTCAGCTGTCTATACCACTCTGTTACTTCTTGCCCTACTTCCTCCTTCCCCATCTCTTCCTGGATGAGGTGGGGATATCAAAAAAAAGAGAGAAGAAAATACAACTCTTGCCTTTAGGCAAGGAATCAATAGGAGGTGAAGGTTAAAGATTTATACTAACATCTCTGACTCCCAAAACATCACTGCCTGAGGTTTCACCTAATTTTTTTGATTGCAATAATGCAGTATAAAAGTAATTAAAAAAACCCCCAACCTATCAGACTTACCACCTATAGTAGGTTCTCTTGGAAACACTACTCTTGCAGATGGCAGTAAAACTGAATTTTAGCTTAAGAAAGAAAACCCTTCAGTTTTACTCTTGCTAAAATCGTTACTGTCATCTTACAGCCAAAACTGTATTACAGAACTAAGAAAATGTTGAAAAAAGGTGCTGTTTTACTTTATGCTAAACAACATCAAACTGCACTCATCAAAAGACGGTCCTGCTCATGTTCCAGCTCCAGTCAGTCAGTTTCACACTCTCATCTGCTTCAAATACTGCAATAAGGCATTCATACAACTTCAGAGCAAGACCTACACACTAACCAAAAACTGGTGCTCGCCATCTTTAAAAACAGAAAAGAAAGAGCTCAAACAAAACCCAACCACAGGTCATTCCCAAACCTAACACAACTCTCCACTCCTAAATGTAGTCTTCTGTTGGACCAGCAAGATCATCCTACTTGCCTGATGGTCACACAGTAAATAGGCTGAAAGCAGGGACAAACACACAACCAGGGAGCCAGGGAGAGAGAGAGAAAACCATACTGTGAAATTTCACCTCAGTGCAAACACATATATGTTAATATTTTATGTTAATCTGGAAATCTGCAAGTTAAATTACTTAACATTTTTCATGTAGAATTATGCACTATTTAGAAAAGAAACATTTCTGTCTCTGTAACAAGTTAATATGAAAAACTACGTTACCTAGCAAAATAAAGAAAGCAAGCTGACCAAGTAAGCCATACCAGGTACCTGTCTTCGGCAGCTGGAAAAAGTGGACTTCAGAGTTTTTTAATATATGAAGTAAAATACAGTGGCCACAGTGAGACATGTAAGACTGGAATGACATTGGGTTAAAAGTCATTTGGTATTAGAAAGTGATGTATGTTTTTTAAACTGCAGGAAACAAATGTTAAATGACAAATGTTCAGCAAAAATAATTATTTGTGTAAATAAAAACAAAAGACCATCACATATTAAGCATAAAATTTAGAGAACATATTCCACTCTTAAAATGTGCTTTCCCCATCATTATTTATTTCTAGGATAAAATTCTAAAAGTACTTTAAAATAGAAAATGAGAGTCTTTAATTGTAATGCAAAGTGGGAAAGTCCTCCAATAGTTCTCCTATCTTACCTGTATCTTCAATGAATTGCACACATTTTTCAACAAACAGAGGTATCGGTTTCTCAGGTGTAACAAGATCCTGTAGGGGCATCCCAAAGTAATTACTTTCCCAGTTTCTACGGATTGGAGGATTGAATGTCTTAGTTTTCTTTTTTGGCTACAACAAAACAGAGTTATTTAAGTAATATTCAAGTAGTATTTTAACTAAGCCATATTGCAACCATTCAGTAAAAACAAACAGATCACATATCTATCAGACATTAAAATTCCTCTATGGCAAACTGAATAAAAGTAAATGCACTTTTAAAATAGCATACATTAGATATGAAGCACTCAAATAACTTCTAATACCTCTAGTTATTTTTGTATCACATTAGAAACAAGACAAACCAATGCACCAGTAATTGAAATATGATAAGAACAAAAATAAACACACTACTTGTTTAGAGTGCTATGACATATCTTTACATACTAATTTTCAGCACCAAACAAAAAGGAATCTACATGAATCACGTATGAACCATGCATCTATAGATATTTTTAGGATAAGATTGTCAAGTGCCATATCACACAAAAAAATTGAGTGTCTTCTGTATGTGTCTCATTAAAGATGTTGATTAATCTTTACATTGCAACTATTCTAGAAACATGACGATGCAGAATGTATACCAACCAATCTTAGAGTTAGCATTGCAGGCACTCCTATTAATCATGCCACTTTGTTACAGGCACGGGACTTTAGCCAAAAGGAGGTTTGCACCCAATCATATCTAATAAGGCAATGAGTTTTACACAGTTTTCTTGCTTGGGGTTTTTTGGTGGTTTTGGGTTTTTTTTCCCCCCCCGACAGGGACTTTATCAGTTCAATTGATCAATCACCTTCAATGATTACAAGAATTATAGTCTATCAGATACCATGTTTCATCTCTGAATATTGATGAAAATATTCAGAGATGGCCATATAAAGTGGTCAATCAATTGGCTGCACATTGGCAACTGAGTATGAAAACTAAATGAACATCACCATTAAAATCTAGCATTTTATCATGATGTTTATATACAGTAAGAAGTTAGTTCAAAACAGCCACATTTTCTTATAAAAGCTCTACAGTCAACATCTAATAGTAGAAAATAAAAACAAAAAGCATAACAGCCAGATTTAAACTTAGTAACAAGGTTTCTAGAATTTGAAAATTCATTGTAAGACTACACCTGAATTAACTACTAAGAAAAAACATGTCTCATTTCTACACTTTACATCTAGAAAAGTCTTCAATATCAATCTCAGTATTTTAAAAAAATGAGTTAACTTGTAGACTTCTATACCATTGAATTTACTTCATCAATCCTTTCAGACTACCTAGAACTTCAAGTCAGCAAAGTACATATTCATGACTGCCTTGCACACTGACAATTAATGAGCTGAAGCTGAACACTACAGGGAAAGCAGAAACTACAGCCTAAAGAACATTTCTCCAACCATCACCCTACAGTGCCCGTAGAACTTCTCTAACACTCGATTAAAAAAAAAATTAAAAATCTGTTAGAGTGTCTTTTTGTAAGACAGCTTGTGCTTGAAATCAGCATCAGAGTACCTGCGACTGACCACGATAAGAGAAGGCTAAAAAAAAATTAGGCCTATCCTTCAAATTTGGGATTTCTATAAAAGGTTTGGCACTTGTAATTTAGAAGCACGGAACATTTACTGGAGAGTTCTTCAAAACATTAGAAAGAAATTGTTCTCCAGCAATCCATCCCAAGTTTCATATTAACTGAAAATTTAATAAAAAGTTTAGGGAAAAAAGCTTAGAATAAAACTTTAGGATAAAGTTTTATGACTAAAGCAGACAACATATGAAAGTGCTCAACTGTAAACTCTTTGCATAACTTTTATTCATCTTAGATAAGATATCAAAGGTTCTACCAGTATATGCCTTTAGATAGAGCTTTTTCTTCCTTCCTTCTCACTGCAACAGTCCCCTGCTTTGAAGTCCCCAGCTCTCAACCTAATTCATTGGCCATTTTCTCTTCAGTGGCAAAATCGTATGTATTTAGACAACATCCAGTTCAGAAGAGCTGCAACTGAAGCTAAAGAACGTGTAAAATCAAGTGACATCTTTGTCAAATGTTGAATGAAAAATTATTTTAGAGATACATACATTAATGCAATGAAAAAAGCAAAAACAAATGGAAATGCCTTTTTTAAGGTGTTCAGTGCAGATCTCCACCATCTTAGAAGAAATGGAGCAGCACTCAGAACCTGTATTTCAGACCTAGCAGACAGAGAAAGACTGTGCATGCCTCTGATTAAGACGTAATATTAGCATAACATAATTAAATATAAACAAATTTTGTTGGTGTGAGTGGATAGCAATCTGGTTCATGGAATTTACTAGGATTTTATAAAATTTTTGCGATAAATACTAATTAATATTATCTGTGTAAAATACCCAGACATAGTATGAAATATCAAATATGTCTTCAAAGCCAGAATAAGGAATTATTTTTTTTCTAATAATTGACCTGCATTTAGAAAAATAGTTATAAGGGGCTGAAATATCAAGTACGACATTATACACTAAAAAAAATCAGAAAGGTTTCTTAGATGAGTTATTGACCTGAAACAATCAGTTTAATCTCAAATTTGAAAAAGTAAGAATTTGTCTAAAGAATTTAAAGAATAAAGAAAATAAATTTAAAGAATAAAGAAAATTAAGTCCTTTTCAAACTCGTCTACAAGAGTAGAAGAGACAATCATTGCAGGGCTATTCCATAAACATGAAATTAGAATTTCACCAGGCAGGTAAAGTTACAATAATAATTTTATCTGTTATTTCCCATTATGTATCATGTCTCTCTCCTGTCCAATATTTATTAAAATACCTCTTTAATAATTTCCCTTTCTTTTGGGGCATGTGGGTGGGGCAAACTCTCCAGTGACAGTGCAAACCAAATCTTCCTGCAAAGAACACTTCACAAAAAATACTTCTGCAAATTAGCAATAAAACTTTAAGGTATTAAAAAAACACTGTCTTATTTCCTCATTTGAGACTTCCACACTTTCCTTAAGTTGCATGTCTAGACTTCTTAAGCAGTGAACTACTTCTGAACGAAAAGGCACGCTACTGTGCAAAAGACATGATCTTTGTCAGAAGATCAACCGACTTCAGGAAAAAAACACAGGTCTTATGTCTAAGAAAAATAAGCTTTAGTGAAAGCTTTTTTTTTTAAGCCTTGCTCCCCACTCTGAGTAAAGAGTAGCTCTTCTGATCCATCAGTCATAGCACGGAACTTTTAAATCTGCTAGTCAAGATAATGACTACCATGAATTTTCTGTGTTCAATTAATTTTTAAAAGTCCTCTAATGAAAAAATATTTTAACAAAAGCATTTTTAAACATTATTCATTTAGTTAAACAGCACCTGAAAAAAAGTGAGCAATTTCTGAATTCCTTGATTTTGGCAGAGAGATTAAGATTTTGCCACAGGTATTTTTAGTTCAATAGTTCTGTTAATAGGCAGTCACCTAATGCTGCACACAGTGAGCACTAATCTAGACACAGGCAAAGACAATTTTGAACACTTCTTCTGCATCATAATACAATAAGACTAATAGGCACCAAATCAGAGAAGACAAGAACCAGCACAAAAGTTTTGTTAGTTAATCCTAGCAAAAAGCTCATTGTTTCACATAAAACTGTTTCATGTTAGTAATTAAAACATAAGCACAACATCATAAACTTGAAACCCCCAGTTTTCATATGAATCTGTTTTAATTATAATTGATTGCTGAGCTAACGTTGAGCTTTCCGGCATGGGTTTCACCACTTCTTGCCAAAGACAACTTCTCTTCATTCCCTAACAGAGGTTAATGCCAAACCTCCAGCTGATCCATATATATTTTGGCAGGAAAGCATTAACTCTTGAGAATCCCAAACTTGCCTTGTGTTGCTGTTATCAAAAGCATTTACCTGCAATATTGCTTTAATTACAGTAGTTTAATCGCTAAAACGTGTTGAAAAAGATTAACTGAAGTCTTCTTAATAAAAGGCAAGGTAAACAAGAAAACATGTATTCTAGCACAGCACAGTATCCCCAATTCTCAATTTCAAAACTAGAAATATTATTATAAAAAGAATAAAACTGTGAAAATGTAGATTTAAAGTATACTCAACATTAACTCTCTTGACTGTAAGTACCAGGGAACCAGCTAAGCAGAACTCATCTTCTAGAGAGAAATGAGGCTGAGACTTCAGCCAGCTGTGAGTCTTTAGAGTACAATGCACTTAAAAAGAATTTTTAAAATTAACTTAGAAAACTAAAAAAACACCCAAACCTATGTATCAAACCCCTTATGGATGGGCTGATTACTCTAGCAAGTCTTCTCTGTTAAAAATGGGCTCCCCTTCTTTTTTTCTCTCACTTCCATCCCACCAGAACCACCATCATAATTTATTTATCAAAGGGGAAATTCAGCCACTTCTCTACCTCCCACACACTTCACTACTACTTTTAATACAAAAGAAATTTTCTGCCTGCTTCATTTGCAGTCAGCCCTAGGGTCATGGAGGGCAAAGTCAATATTTTCAGGACTATTAAAATACTTCATAAAACCACGTACCGTGAACAGCATTCATTTTATAGGCTTAATAAAGCATTTGTAATCTCTAATTCATGGCTAGCTCTTCAGAAACTACACGACATATGAATAATGCAGATGATGGTCCCTAACATGCTCTTTCTTTCCCTCATGCCTTCTGCCATTTTTAGAGTTCCAGCTTGCTACACTAAGTTTTAAACTACAGAGGTACAAGAAGGCATATGGCTCCAAATATGCATTTTAAGAGTGTTAAATTTGAACAGATGAAACCTGAAAGTACAGATTTTGATATTTCCTATACTCCACAGGAGAAAAAAAAAAAATTCACTGCACATTCCAGTCTGAAGTAGACAGTACTTTGCTAAATCAACCACTGAATTTACACAAGAACAGCTGAAAATAAGTTGATCTCCCATTTCTCAAGTTTACCACAGTCTTATTAAAACTGAGATCAACACAAATGGCTATACAGTTCCTGACACTATTTCAGTAATAGTTTCAACATTAAATTTCATAAAATTTTGAAATTATAATGAAAGCAAACAATTTCTAGCATAG